GTGCTGGGGCCGGTCCGGCCGCAGGAGCCCCCGGGCTCTGCCCGTCCCTCTCCTGCCGGGGCCCCTCCGGCCGCGGCGCTCAGCGCCCAGCACTCACCCTGCCTCAGTTGGGATTAGTCTCCCGGCTGCTGCTCTGCTCTCAGCCCAGCTCCTGCTCTTTGTCCGCTGTGGAAGAGGAGGATGAGGAGCTGAGGGTCCAGCCCAAATGCTTGTAGGCTGCAATGAGCTCCTGCAGCCACTCAGGTGTAGGCTCCCACATGGAAATTCCAGTGCTGTTCTGCATGGGAAGGCACCAGGCGCTGAGCTTCTCCCTGTGGTCCAGGCAGGGCATGCTGTGGATCAGGGAATACCTGTATCCCAAGGGATAACACTCCAAGGAACCCAAACCCTCCTTGGCACAGGCACAGGGGTTGGCCTGGCAGGGTCAGGAGTGGGGGAACCCAAAGACCTCCAGGCACAGGCACTGGCAGAGGCTGTAGACAATGCAGAGGAGGAGGGTGGAGGGCACAAGGCTGACCAGGATGATGCCCAGGCTGTGGTGCTCAATGAGCAGGAGGTAGATGCCAAAGGGCAGGGAGCTGAAGTAAAGGAGGCAGAGGACACCCAGGATGAAGCGGGGGACGGCTCGCCACCCCCAGGCGCGGCACTTCTGCCCAGGGCCGTGGCAGGGCAGCACACCCAGGCTGGTGGGGCGGTACAGCCGCACCACCTCCAGCCTGCCCAGGCTCTCCGGTGGGGCCACGTCCTCCGGCACCTCCAGGATGGTGACAACCAGGCAGTCGGGACTGGATGTGGGCTCCAGCACGCCAGGGCAAAGGAGGACCTCCGGGGATCGGGGTGGACCCCTCTTCTTGGCCCGTTCACGGCCTGTCAGCAGTGCCAGTGCCTCGCCATCATCCTGCAGCTGCTGCACGTCCCCGCCGGGCACTGGGCTGTGCTGGCGGCAGAAGGGGCAGCGGAGCTGGGAGGTTGATGCATCGCCTGGAGACACCATCCTGTGCAGGCAGCGGGTGCAGAGGCGATGGCCACAGTGGAGCAGTTTGGGCCTGTGGGCGCGGGCGTCGAAGTGGCTGTAGCAGATCTGGCACTCCAGCTCAGGGGATGTGGGTGCCACCGGCGGGGACCCCAGCTCACTGCCCGGCTGGGCCATGGCTCCTGGAGGGGTGCTGGGGGCTGCCTGGGCTGAGGGAAGATGCTGTCAGCCAGGGCCGGGGGCAGGTCCTGGGCCTGATGGCTCCCACGGGTGGGGTCCTGGCCCTCCTGCACCCCACGGTCAGTGTCCCGGTGAGCCCCAGGGGCTCGGTGGGGGAGCAGGGTCGGGGGAGTGGGGCTCTACCCGGGCCGAACTCCAACCCCGGTCGGTGCCACCGGCGCTGGCACTCGGCCTCATCCCAGCCCCCTTTCTAGAGGGCACACCGCTGCCAGGGGAGGGCACCGGCGTGGGGGGGTAGCTCACGAGCGCATCCTTGGCTCTCACGGCATGTGCCGGTTTCCTGGAGCCCCCGGGGTGGGGACTGCTCTGGACACTGGCTCTGTCGGCGGTGAGGAATCCCCCATCCTTCACCCCCGTCCCTCTCCCGGGGCGAGCAACTCCCGGTCCGCATCCCCGCCCCCGCTCCCGGCCCGCACCGCATCCCCTCCCGTACCTGCGCTCCGCGCCGCGGCTCCCGGTGGGGACACAGCGGCGAGTCGATCCCCAGCCCCGGTCTCGGCGGGCTCGGTGGTGCCGATGGGCTCCGCGGCGGCGGGCTCGGGCCCGGCAGCCCCATGGGGGAGGCGCGGGGCGCTGCCCGCCGCGCTGCGGGGGCGAGCGCGGCGCAGGGGCCGCCGGCAGCGCCGCGGCGTTGGCCCGGTAACGGGGAGCGGCGAACGCGGGGGGATCGGATGGGCCGGGCCGGGGCCCCGCGGAGCCCCCTCGGGCAGAACCGGGCCCCGCCGGGCTGCGGGAGGACGATGCAGGGGTCTATGCAGCGGTCGGTGCGGCGTTCGGTGTGAGATAGGCGCAGCTCCCTGCACGCCGCGGTCCTCCCTTTCTGGTCAGCCTTGAGGGTGCTCCTTCGCAGCCTGGGGACTGCGGCAGCGGCCCCTGGAGTCCGGCACCCCCTGGGAGTCCAGTCGGGGGCACTCGGGGGACGCAGCACTTGACAGGTTCGGGCTGAGCACGGCCGAGCCCCGGGCACATCCCACTCTGCCGGTTGTGTCTCCCCAGCCAGGTCAGATCCGCCCCAGGCTGCTGCCTTTACAGGTTTCCAGCAGCCCCGAGGGACAGGAACACTCAGGGACCACCCCTCACCTCTGTCCCTCCTGCCAGGTAGAACAGGAGCAGCACCGAGCACCACGAGGGCACAGTTAATGAGGGCCTTTCAGTTCAATCATCCACGTTTGGCACAGTCTGAGAGCTTTTATGCCAGGGGTCCAGCTCCTGGTGTGCCTTGCTCCCCCAGCCCTGCCCGTACCCCCCACCACTCCCAACCGCCCACCTCAGCTGCCCCTTGGACAGCTCTCCTGCTCTGTTTGGATAAAGCACATGTTCTAGAAGCAGCCATGCCAGTGGCTTCTGGCCACTGATGTCACTTACACGTCCCCTGTGACACCGACACCACGGCTGTTGGATCCTTAACCAGGTAACGGTCCCTCACCTGAGGGAGCAGTAAAGGGCTCTGTGTACACTGACTGATCAAGGGGTGGGTTAAGGACACTCCCAGAATCAGCACATCTCTGCTCACCTGGGTCCCGGGAACAGTCAGTCTTGCCTCAAAACAATGAACAAAAGGGAAAAAAAGGCTTTACAAACTGCTACTTCTGCAGCCAGCGTTCCCAGCTGTCTCGAGTGTCCTTAAAGGACATCAAAGATCTCCTTGCCTCTGTTAAAAGCATCTTTGGAGAGCTGTGGAGCCCCTGGGAGCAGGCAGCGTGTGGGGCTGGGCAATTCCTACCCACCCCAGAGTGGCACTGGCACTGCTCCTGCACCAGCACCAGTGCTGCTGTGGCACTGGCACTGCTGTGGCACCCCACCAGAGATCAGCTGTGCTGCCCCGAGTAGTCCAAGGTCAGTCCAGATGCCTGCGCTTCTCTGAAAGGAGAGCACCAAAATCACACGGGAGCAGCCAAGAGCCAGGAGCGGGATGGTCACGCTGCTTCAGGGGCTCACTGGTCTTTAGGAAACAAAACTCACCAGGTCACGGCTGTACAGAACAGGGCAGATGCCAGATAGTCCTGAAAAAAACAAAACCCGATGTTTTTCTACCTTCCACCCAGGCAGAGGCTGGACAGGGGGTGAACAAGGACCCTAGATACCAGAGAAGAAAAGGGATGGACACAGGCAGAGCTGTATGCTGGTTTTAATGTTCCTAAGAACTAGGAAACAGAAATCAAAAATAGACTTTGCTCTTCTTGATAAAAGTAATAAAATGGTTAGCGGTGTTAAATTAATCCTTACAAAACAAAACCCAAGGAGGTTAAATAAAGCCCAGAGGCTTCGCATAAAAACCACAACGACTACAAAACAGCTGCAAAGACGTCTTTACACACCAAAGAAACTCCTCTCCTCTGCTCCTTTCCTCTCCAGGACACAGTGTCGGCAAACACGGGACTCACACATGGGAAAAGAACACGGATGCGATGGGAGCAGCCCCGCCAGGAGCGTGGGCGCCACGGACAGAACTATTTACACTATGGACACGGAGCCGTGCTGGGGCCGGTCCGGCCGCAGGAGCCCCCGGGCTCTGCCCGTCCCTCTCCTGCCGGGGCCCCTCCGGCCGCGGCGCTCAGCGCCCAGCACTCGCGCTTGCCATCCGTCCCTCCATCTGTCCCACCGTCCTTCCGCCCAGCTCTGGCTGCCCCTTCCCTCTGCGCTCCGGCGTCGCGGGGCTGCCGCTCCTCCTGCTGCGCCACACTGGGCTCCCTTGCCCCCGGCGAGGGCCGCGGCTGAGCCTCCTCTCCCATGGGCGGCCGGGCGCTCCCGGCTTCTGGGGGTCGGCGTGCAGTTCACAGAGAGCAGGTGCCGTGGAGCTGCTGCGCAGGAGTCCCGGGCCGGTGCTGCACACTCAGCAGTCTCTGCTGCCCCGGCCAGCCCCGGGGCTGCCGGCACCTCCCCTGCTGCCTCGCACCTCTGCCTTAGTTGGGATTAGTCTCTCGGCTGCTGCTCTGCTCTCGGCCCAGCTCCCGTTCTTTGTCCGCTGTGGAGGAGGACGAGGAGGAGGAGGACGAGGAGGAGGAAGACGAGGAGCTCAGGGTCCGGCCTGAATGCTTGTAGGCTGCAACGAGCTCCTGCAGCCGCTCTGGCGTGGGCTCCCACTTGGCAAAGCCGGCGCTGTTTTGCAGGAAGAGGACGGCTGTGTTGTGCACAGCCTTGTAGTACATCTCCTCTCTGCAAGGGAAGAGCACAGGCATCAGCACCTCCCCTGGCCCCCAGCACTGGACACCTGCTCCTCCTCTTCCTGCCTGCCATCCTTAGGACAAGTGTTTGCCCCTGTCCTTTCTCTCATTATTCTGAGGAAAAGTGGAGGCACAGTGCAGCCTCTGGCAGTTCTGAGTACGGCAGAGGCTCCTGAGCTTTCAGAGGGAAGCACTCATGCTGCAGAGCCCCACTGCTCTCTGCCAGCATGTGCTGGGACCTCGCTGTCCCTGCCAAAGGGACTCAGCACAGTGAGTCATCAGTCCTAACCAGGTAAGGAGAACTTCAGTTTTCATGCACTTGTTGCTTAAACAAGTTGTTGCTCAAACTTGTTGCCTCAGCAGCAGAGCAGTCTGCCCCACTGGGGACTGAGCCCCCACTGCCCCTTGCCTCTGCTCCCCACAGTGACACCCAGCTGCTGTGGCTCAGCCGGCTCACAGGTCCAAGGGCTGGCAGAGGAACACGGATCAGCACCACAGGTGTGACCTGTTCCGGCTGTACTCGTGCCCAAGGCACACATCTCTCACAAGCTCTGTTAGCAGTCATTAAACAGACGTGGAATTCACAATGCTGTCTGCTCATCCTGAACACCCAGGGTGATGATGCGCTGCATTTGTCCTTGCCTGCTCCCTGCTTCCCACTGATCTCAGCTTGGGAGAGGATATTTCTGTCACACAGCTTCAGAGCCGTGTTCCCAGAAGGATCTGAGAACAAAGCCTACTTTTTGCAGACGTGCTGGGACCCGCTGCGATACTCGTGATCGAAGGCCGGCAGGATGAGCTGGTGCCGCTTGAACTTGCTCTGCTCCATGCGGGTCAGGGCCGGCGTGGGGGGGTCCCGCCACTCAGGGATGAAGACAATGAAGGAGAGCGGCTCGCTGGAGCTCTCCAGCAGTTTCTAGTGCAACAAGGAAAGGAACAATCTTAGCACTGGCTGAGCAATGACGTGTCTGAACAAGCCCTAAGGAAAGGAAACGCTTCTGCTTCCAGAGTGGAGCCGCAGCCATCACCGTCCTCTGCCCCTGCCCTCAGCCCCGCCACGGGGAGCACAGGATGGATGGCACAACTCCATCCCAAACCACCTCACCAGTGAGCAGACGTACCTCAAAGTGAGAGACCATGGCATCCATCAGCTCCTCACAGAATGGCGGATTTGCCTCAAAAGAGCCACTTATAGGGAAGAAATCCAGGCATGGGCTGGAGAAAGAGGCAAAGATCCCTATCAGTCCGACCTGAGTCATCCATGGGCACACACTCACACAGACACACAGCAAGGGAATGTAAGACTCACCCCCTGGATCCAAAATACCCGTCTGTGTCCAAGAAGGCCGAACAGTACTGTTTAAAATAGCAATTCAGGGGCGAGGCAAAGCATTCAAAACTCACTCCAAAGAGCTTGTGGAGGGCTTCGAAGATGTGCACGGGAAGTGCCCCTTGCAGACCAGTCCCTTCGTACAGCCCCACACCGAACATCATCTGAGGAGAGCAAACCCCAGTGAGCTGTGCCTGCACTCGCTGTTCCTGCTGCTCCCTTCACTGACCACGGACCCAGAGCCACACATCCATGCACCCCTCCTCTAGGTACGCAGGGCCCCCTCATCCTTTCTCAAATTCATGTAGGTCCCTGCATGTACCCAAGAATGCTCTTCAGAGACTTCCTCCAACTTTGGCCCCACGGAACCATCATTTTTCTTTTGTACCCCTATGAGCCTTCAGTTGCCCCTCAGAGTCAAGAGCTATTGAAGGTTTCCTTCACAAAAATCTTTACCCTCATATCAAGACTACAACCACTCCCCAGACCATACTCCTACCTCAGCACAGCTGGAAGCAGACAACAGACCTAGTTTAAACCCTGTCTTGCTCCAGGCTCCCAGAGCCATGTCCCTTCCCCAGAGCAACAACAAGTTCAGCTCCCAGTGCTGTGTCACCACAGCTGTGGTGAGACTTTACCTGATATCGACGGAGAAGGCACCAAACCCTGGGCAGGAACTTTTCAAAGCCCGAGTCGTCGATGCAGCTGTACCGATAGAGAAGCCACTGGAAGAGAAAGCCCAGCCACTGAACACACCAGGAACAGACAAGGAATGGGATACACACATGTTGTGACAAGGAGAGGGATGCTGAGGAGCAGGTGGGCTCTGCAGGGAGGTGTGTCAGCACATCTGCTGTCACTGTGTGAGCCACCAGCTCATCACCAGCATGAATGAACCACCACACCAGCACATGTCTCTCAGCAAAGGCTGCCTTGCTGCGAGTATACAACATTCTGGCTGCACAGCACGTATCCAGAGCACACACCCAACAGCCGGGAAATACTCCCAGCAGGAGCCTAATCCCGACTAAGGTGAGAGCAGCTGCCCCCTTCCCTGTGGCAGCGTCTGACAGCTCTGTGGGGTCAGCTGGCCATCCTCTGCCCTGCCCTGCCCTTGGAGGCTGGTGCCCAGCCCTTACCAGCTTGCTGAAGTAGTTGCGGCTCACTTTGACCATCTCCCCCTTGTACCGCACACACGCCACGTTGTTCTCCATGTGCATCTCCACGCTGGGGAGTGGTGGGGAGGGGATGGCCAGTCTCACGGGGTAACAGTACACCAGCCTGTCCTGGACCTCGGGAGCTTCTACCTCAGCTACAGAGAACAAAGAGAAAGGCAGCCCATGAGAAGCCAAGGGCATTTGGGACCAATCTTCCTTCCACCTCAAACACACAGTGACCCCAATAAGGCTAAAGAGCAGGGTGGTCCTCCCAAAAAACACTGTGGTGGTCCCTTGCAGATCTCGTAGGCAGCTACCTAGGTTCAGTGCTGATTCCCCAAATTAATTCCATCTCCCACTGCCAGAGCACAGAGAAGACCCACTTCATAGCATTTTCTCCATCTCTAACCCAGCAGAGCTGCAGATAGCACACAGCCACCCCAGCATCCTGAGGCATGTTCCAGAAACACAAACACTCTCTCTGCTGCTACTGTTTCTATTTCAGTTTGCCCCAAAGTCATCCAACACACAGTAAAAATTCCAAGGCTGCCAAAATGCAGAAGGCAAAGGAATCTCCCTGCACCTTGTGGTTACCCATTGCCTCGGCATCAGGGAGAGCTCACAGGAGAGGTCAGCTGGAAGGAATCCCTGACTCAGCGAGGTTAGAAGACAAGCAGCAAAAACAATGGCAAAAGGCAGACATTGGGACCTGAAGGGAGTCTGAGGAGGGCCAGGACTCAAAAGGGAAAAGGACTACAAACAGTGGTGATGAAAGAAGTGGGGCCCATGGAGGAAGGAACAGGTGACTAGAGGCAAAAATACAGACATGAATTAGGAAGGAAGAGCAGAGAAAAGATCAAGGAACGTGACCTCTCTGCCAGGAAAGGGTGCACAGTGACATGCTGGGAGGCACAGGGGAGCACACGGTGCTCAGAACACAAGAAATGTGACAAATGAGAATACACAGAGAACACTTGGTGTTAGGAAGGGGATGTCAGCTGTCCCCAGGAATTCATGAAGCAGCAGAGCGAAAAGTAACGGTCCAGGGAAATGAACAAATGCCCTGTTCAGTGTGACCAGCTCCTAACAAGCTACTTCATGCTGGCAAATCACACGTTGATGGTATTTGATGTTACAGGCAGTCACAGCAACTGATGGAAGACAGTCTGTCACTGCACGGGCACTGCGTGACTGCCAGCTGAAGCCTATGCTGGACGGGCTGTTTCTGACTTTGAAATCCCACCCTGTGGATGCAGAGCTGCCCTCCCAACAGGTGACACTCTGAACGAGGACAGACCACAGCACGAGGCCTTCAGCTGCAGTGCTGTACCCCTACAGATCTTCAGAGTTGGCTGCGTACCAGAGATATTGTTCTCTTTGAGTATGGCAAGATGCTTCTCCCGGATCCGCTTGACGTATTCCAGGGATATGTAGTAAATCTTACTACAGATGCCTTCCACGGAGTCCTTGGCTGCAGCAGACACGTGGGGCCCACACTGTTTGCGTAAGTGCTCCAGGCGGTCCTGCGGAACCAGAGAACCAGAGTCCCTCACACGGCCACCACCGACTCCCCAGGGGCACTCAGCGACTCCGGGCTGCCCTCCCTTGGCACGCAGCAAAGGGAAGCAATGGCAGCTGTCTCCAGAAGGACCTGTACCTGTCCCCATGTGCCCCCTCCCCAGCTCCCTGCAGGACACTGACCATGTAGTCCTCCTTGGAGGCGGAATGGTCCCGTCGCAGCCAGCTGAATGTGTCCTCCACGTTCCACTTCACCACCTTCCTGCTGTCTGGGGAAGCACTCCTGCAAAAATAGAGGCAAAATGTAACCCACGGCTGCACAGCAAGGTATTCCACCCCCCTGCAACATTTTCTGTCAGTGTTGAATGTGGCCACAGCCACTTGATCAAGGCCCTGCCCTGTCACCTCCCTCCAGTTCTCCTTTAGAAAGTGCTTCCAGATGTTTACATTACTAGAGACTGCCACGCTCTCTCCAAAACTCAGTGTAGCTGGCTGCTGTCCTCTCTGCAACAGGAGAGGCCCACAAAACTTTTATCTGTCATGGCAATGGTCCATTTTGATATTGCCTTTAATTTTCAAATATTGCTAGGAGCTTGCGACTCTAAGAAAACTACCCTGTTAACAAGGTTTTTCTTTTGCCCCATAAAGTTCTCCCCACAGTCTTCCTCAATTCTGTCCTGTGGCAGAACTGGCCACAAAAACCCCACCTGGTATACAAAATGCCACTCTGAGCTTGTTGCTCTGTAACAGCAGTGAGTGCTCAAGCACTCCTGTTTTTATCTCAGGGATGACAGATGACTTCACTGACTCTCACCTGTCTCCACACACATTTTGGCTTCTCAGCATTACATTTTACAGTAATGTCACTATCAAAAGATGCCTCCAACACTACTGCTTTTCTTCTATATGTTCTTAACATTGCTTTTCCTCAATAAAATTGTGACTAGCACTGCACAAGGCAGGACGAGCAGCCCCTATAATCCTTTTCTCTTTTCTGAACGTGACAGCACTGCAAAAGGAGCTCCCACCTGGATTCAATCAGGCGTTTCGCAGCCTCGGCATACTTGAAGAGCAGTCTCTTGGCTTCCTCACGGAACTTGATTCTGGATAACCTGAGGTAAATTAAATTCATATGCATCAGTCTCACAAAGGCATGGAGGCCAGGTCCAGTTCCTTGGTTTTCCACTACCAGCATTCCACCGCTTCATCAGCCAAAGGGAAGCACCACAGCACAGAACCATGGCAGGTAAATCACCAGGCCAGACCAACACAGAACAATCCCAGTAGGGTGCCCTGTCTGTGAATGGTACCTGATGGGAATGTCATTCATGATCTCTCTGAACATGGAAGGAGACACTACTGGCTCGCAGTCACTCGGTAAAAGAGGATCTGTCCCTTTATCAACCACCTTCCTCTCCAACATCCAGCGATTAAAGGACTCCCTTGGGGGGTCAATCCCTGGAGACACACAGAGAAAGAGTTTAATCAAAACAATACAGAGATGCCCAGAAGCTCTGGTAAGGATCATCACACAGAGTTCAGCCTAATCAGTTCACAACCAACAATGTCACAGAGTACAACTATCATGAAAAGAGACCACAGGGACAAGACAGGCATAAGCCAAAAAGAAGATCACCACAGCATGGCAAGACTGAGAAGGAAATCAGGGAACCCAACAGAAACTCACCCTCTCTCTGCTGGCAGAGCTCACGGTAATGCTGCCGCAGCTTGAGAATAAGCTGGGACCGAAGCAGCTCCACCTCAGGGTGTGGAGAAAGCACTTCTGACGGTGCCCTCTGCTTAATCACTGCGTTTGTCTGAATATCCAGGTCCCAATATACTCTGTGGCAGAAGCAAATGTCATCAGGATGGCTAGATCATTGGCTGATTATCAAATATTACTCCTAAAGATGCTTCCTTGGGCTGTTTCACCAGTCAGGAAAACAAACTATCAAGACTCCTGGCAAAGATATAGGGGTGTGTTATATACCCCAGGTTCTTCTCCAAAGATATCTGAAAACCTGTGCGTCTCTAATCCTCCACGGAGAAAGGAACAGAAGACAAATGGAGACAACTCACTCAGTTGGTCGTAGAAGAGCTGCCTGCTGTTTGTCTTCAGGTGAAACACACCATGCCTTCAAAACAGAGGTTCCTGGAATACTGGGAGAGCTGGGGACTGGCTGAGCAGCTTGGTTCCCAGGGACATCAGTCTGTGTGTGTGAAAGATGAATTACTGCACCACAGACACAGGTAAAAGGAAAGTAGCCTGATAAACCAAACAGTGCTGTACCAGAACACCACGCAGGAGACCCCCGAGAGCTCTCCAGCCCCCCTTGGTTTCGGGTTACACACATTTGTTTCACAGCACCAGACCCACCTTAGGCTTCTTCACACTGTTGCCACTTGGTGGAACCTCCTCCGAGAACCTCCTCTTCCTCTGCTTGCTCTCCACAGAGGTATCTGCCACCCCACCTTCCAGTGGCATTGGAGCCGCATTCAATCCCAGAGGATCTGACTGTGGGAGTCCAAACAACAGCAGCACACGTCAGCTCCCCCGCTGCCACTGCAGCGTCCCAAACAAAGGCAGTAAGCCCTGAACTTCCCATTGCACTGCTCCCAGCTCCCACGTGGATGGAAATAAGGACACCACTATTCACACCAGCACAAAGCTAAAAGATTCTCCTCTAGACCTGTGTCTGCATGCTTTTTTAAAAGACTTGGATGAGAAAAATGCACCACAACTCCCCCACCTGAGTGTTCTTTCAGCATTGCACACCTGGAACAGCACCACCTGAGGGTGCACCTGAAGGAGGAACATTTTGCCAAAACCATGCTTCAGAGCGAGGAGCTCTGAAGGCACAAAAGACCCTCCCACATCTGTAATCTGAAGTCCACAGACCATGAGCCCTGCTCCTGCAGAACATGCCAGTGCTGGCGCAGCCCCCCAAGGTGAGTGTGCACTTACGATGACATCGTGCTGTCCCAGCACAGGCATTTCCCACAGAGACTGGTTCGTGAAGCGATTGAAGTAGTAGGGGCGGTTCTCCCGCTTGCTCCAGCACTTCTCCCAGCCAGCCTGCACCAGCTCATCTGAGAGGACAGAGGGAGTCAGGAGAGGAGCATCCTGCACGACAGCCCTGCCCTGCAGGTCCCAGCTCTGTCACAGCACACACACAACACACATCGTTCCCAGCCTCCCTTGGCGGCCCCGCTCTGCCCCCCTTCCTGCTCCCAGGGCCCTGCAGAATTCCCAAGGGCAGTCCGTACCTGGCAGGTCCTGTACCAGGCGCATGGGTTTGGGGGAGCTGGGCTGGTTCTGGTTGGAGGTGCCAGGTGAGTGACTCATGAGAGACGCTTCCTCCGCAGGGCTTCTGTGATTCTCATTGGCCATTTCTCAGCAACCACACTAGAAAAAACAGACATAACATGCAGAATTATAGCAGGAATGATCCCAGATCCACTTGGCTGTAGCACTACAAGTTCATTCTGACAATAAAACAAGGATTGAACCAGTACACACAAACAGCACCTCAGCCCTGAAAAGCACCTGTTATCCTGGACACAACCATCTATGAGGAGTGCTGAGTGTTAAATGGGGCCAGCCAGGGTGTTCTTCAGGCCAGCATTCAAAATATTCACTTTTCAGCTAAGTCCCTCCTAAGAGTGGAGCATCAGGACTGAGAGTATAAAAAATAACATACACTCCTCTGTGATTATGTGTCACCTTCTGCCATGCCAATACCACCGGTCATGTCTGATCTGTTATCCTCAGAGACAGTTTAAATCAACACTTACCCACACATAACTGCACATCATTTAAACAAAAGGCTTTAATTAAAAAAAAATTCTGCTACATAAAATAGCCCTGGAGCTTCACTAACAACTTCTGTGGTTCAGAGAACCGCAGGCTGGGCGTTGGGACCTCCCAAATTATTTTCCTCCATATGTCCCAGGCCCACAGTAACTGCTCGGCCTCAGCCAGACTGTTTTGGCCCTTGGTGCTTTTTCATCTGCATAACAACAGTTATGCAAAAGAAGGTCTGTTGGAACAATAAAGCTCCTCTTAATCATAATCTAATGTTGCCAGCTGGAGAGAAACAGCCAGGCTTTTCCTCTCTTAGTCACCACTCTTCCCCCGGGGAAGTTTCTGAAACAGCTCCGCAGATTGCTCCTCTCTGGCAGCCCGAACACACTGGCAATGAACTGGGGGGAAACAAGGCATTTTACGTAATTCCCAGCTACCTCGGATACCAAACTATTCAGGCCTTGGAGACACCCCACAGGACACACCAGCACAGTCAGGGCAGCAGCAAAACAGTGCTGTGCACAGCGTGTTCTTCACCTGAGCACGGCAGTAGCCGGAAGCTGGAGCCGCGTACGGCAGCTCTTCAGTAAAAGCTCTGGATTTCTGTGGGCTAAATCACTCGGATTTAATCACCTTTGCTGCCCTTCCTGTGCATAAAGCCCACTGGCTATTTCAGCAGAGCAGAATGGCAGGAGGCAGCAGCTATCTGTAGCTCCGCTGCCCACAGCACCCGCTGTGGAATCAGCGCTGAGGAACTCAACCCTTTCAGCCCCTCAGAAGATGTTTCCATCCTTCCAGGCAGCGTATGCAAGGAAAGGTGTGGGACGCTGCAGAGTCTGGGTCTCTGCTCAGGAGCAGACAGGTGACAACCCCTGTGCCTGCTGCAGAGCACCGGATGCAATCACAGGCCTTTAACAGCCTCAGCAGGTGAACGTTGTGCAATTTCACACTGAACTCCAACCCCGCCATGCCCTCACAGTCACTTCACAAAGGTGCCAAGGTGAGCCAAACCAGTGGCAGAGCAGTCAGGGTGGCAGCCTGTCAAGCTGTGGGCACAGGGACTACAGGGACCCCAAGGCAGGAGCCTCACCCGGCTGGTGCAGGAATCTCTGAAGGATGTTTAGCCCCTCCTCCTCCTACTCAAACTAAAACCACACGTGCACATGCACCTGCTGCTGTGTCCTGCACGTTGCACAGAGCACACACTGTAGTGAACTGGTATGTACTGGGGGGACCAGGGCTCCCAAAGGGATGGAGGTCAATATACAGACAGCACTGGGCATCGAGCCCTGCCCAGCCCGGATGGCACACACCAGCTCCAGTGACCTGCCAGTGTTTTTCACCACCTATCGCTCAGAAGAGCTGTCAAATAGGGTCACTGGCTCTGCCTTCTCCCATTTATGGATAAACTGGAATGGTGGAAGTAGCCAAGAAGCTTTATCACTTGATCAGTGTTGACGAGTATTAAATCCAAGTACCCTTAAGGTCTGAGAAGAGGAAACAGCCAAACTAACAAGAATCCTGGCAGAAGCAACTCTACTTTTATGTAACTACACTGGGACTTAGACAGTGACAGGGATCCAGAGGAAGCATTTTGTGGTGATTACGGAATGTTTTTATACACCATGGCAATGCATACAGTGCTTCACAGACACGGTACAACACTGTCCCTGCCCAGAGAGCTTACAACCTAGAGCAGCAGCACAACCGGAGACCACAGCGAAGGGTAAGGAGACACAGAGTAAAGAAGTACAGCAAACAGGACCGATATTTGTTTCCATTTCACCGAGGTAGGATTTTGTACAAGACAACAGCAAATGCAGACAAAGGAGAGCAGCGACAGCCCCCCGGGACACCCCCGCTTCTCCCCCATCCCAGAACCGCGGCTGCTCCAGGAGGCTGGGAACCAGGCCACCGCCTCCCCCGTCGGTACCATCCCCTTCCCGAGAGCGGGACCGGGGCGCTGGGGACCGGGACACCGTGTCTGCGCAGAGGAAGCTGCCGGGCAGCTCCCGGGGGCTGCCCTGCCGGCGGCGGAGACGGCACGGAGCTCCTCGGCGCGGCGGGCCGGGACCGGCGGGCGGCCACCGGCGCCCAGCGAGTGCGGAGCGGAGGCGGCGGCGGCGACAACTCTGCAGGCTGGCCGGGAGCGGTCCGGGGGCGCGGCCTAAGCGGGGCGGCGGCCGGCCGGGCGGGTACTTACGGTGGCGGGCTGCCTGGCGGGACGCGTGGCCGTCGCTCCGTGCTCGCCGCTGGCGCGCCGGGGCCGCATCCTCATAGCGGGGCGTCCCGCGCCTGGCCCGCGGGGGCGGCTGCGGAGACAGGAGCCCGTTACGGCGCCGCGGGGAGGGGCCGCGGGGCGCGCAGGCGCGGCGGGGGCACAGCGGGGGCGCAGTGGCGGGAGCGCGGCGGCGGCGGCGGCCGCGCTCTAAGATGGCGGCCGCGGGCCTGCGCCGCCTACCCTCCGCCGCCCGCCCCCCGCCGCCTCCTCCTGCATGGCGGGCCGCGGCCTCGCGGTCGCACCGCTTACCTGGGCGTGAGGCCGGGGGCTGCAGGCACCGGGCACCGCTGCGTCCGCCGCCGCCGCCGCCCCACCTCCGCCTCGCCCGCCCCGCCGCCGCCATCTTGCGCCGGGGCCGCGGGCCGCGGGCTCGGGGCGCATGCGTGAAGCCGAGCCCGCGCTCGGGGGAGCCGCCCGGCGCATGCGCGCTGAGGGAGAGAGGTCGCCCCGCCCGCCCGGCGCCATCTTTGTGGCGGCCCCGCCCCGCAGGGGGCGCGGCCCCGCCCGGGCTGTCCCGGGGCCCCCCCCGGGCCCCACCCGCGCGCCGCGGGCGGTTCCCGGCACCGACAGGGCGCGGCTGCGGCGGTCGCCACCAAAGGGCCTTTGAAGCGCAGCGGCGCCGGGGTGGGGCCGCGGCCGGGCCGGGGGGGCCGCATTGATGTGCGGGCGCGGGGCTTCCGCTACCCGCCGGGCACAGCGGCCGTTCCTCGGCCCGGGCCGGCTCCGCCACCGCTGCTGGGCCCTGAAGGTCCTGGCGGTCCCTCATGGTCCAGGCGGTCCCTCGGGCGCAGCGCTGACGCGTCCTTTCATACTCCGCTGCCGTGGCCGTTCCCCCTCCCGCAGATCCCGGCGGCGGGGCCGCGCTGTGAGGGACGCTGTGCAGCGCTGGCCGGGGTCGCTCCCTTGCCCCGCGGCCGGTGGCTGGTGCTGCTGCGCAGCTTGTGCTGGAGGGTGACACGGGACGGGGAAGGGGGACACGGCTGTCGGGGTGTCCCTGAGGGGCTGCAGGAGCCGAGCCCCCTGCACACCCACCCTGCAGAGTGTCCGTCCTGACGCGGGCTCAGCCCCGATGGCTGGTGCTGGCCCACGGCCCCTGTGGAGACGGGCAGGGGCAGCCGCAGGGCCATCACCCCAGCCACGGTCCCTCTTCTGCACTTTCCCTCTGGGATGTCCCCGCTGGCCAGCTTTCCAAGGGGTTTCCCATCTTCCCATCCCGCTCGGTCTCCACGGAGTCCTGCCCTCTGGTCCGGGAGCACCGGGGTCAGTTTAATGAGTTAATGCTGGCGTAGCAGTTCTGGAGGGGATAAGTGCTGTGTAAGCACTGAGGCTCCCGCGCTGGGCTCCCAGCAGCCCGGTTCTGCTGCCCAGAGCACCGATAACCGCCCCGGACACAAAGGGCCGGCTCAGACTGATCCCTCGGGGGCAGAGGGAACTCTTCGGAGGGACAGTGTCCTCGGAGAGAGGCGGCTTAAGTGGCCGAGGGGGTGGTGAGGGCAGGGGCAGCCCCTCGGCATGGCTCGCCCAGGCAGGATTTTTGGGAAGAAGCCCCAGGCTGAGATGAGAACCGGCCCGTCCTCCCTGTGACGGGTGGGTGGAGCAGGATGGTGACAAGGGCGCTGCAGGGGACTCTCTGCCAGTGCCCCTCACAGTGCTGTGACCCTCGGGCTGCCGGGGAACGCCAGGCAGAGGCACGTCGTGAAGAGCCAGAGCTGCCCGGGTGGTCACAGGGGTCGGGGCAGCGGCCGTGGGGGCAGCACTGAGAGTCCACAGCCTCGGCGGCTTCTCTGCTCAGGCTCATATCAGACATGTACACGAACCAGACCGTGGCAGCACCCCCGGCCCGGGGCCACAGAGCCTGTGCTGGAGCTGGGGGAGCTCAGCACTGGCAGGGGTTTTATAACCACAGATCCTCCCGGCCCCCGTTTGCACGCGTGCCCCTCGCAGGGGGGTGCTGGGCAGGCCCAGGGCTGTGGCTGGGTGTGTGGGACATGCGAGGAGCGGTGGTTTTTTGGGGGGGGAAAGGAGGCTGTGTGGCCAGCCTGGAGCCGGGCGCCCGCGCGAGCCGCTGTCCTGCCGATGCTGGCAGCGAGCCGGGCTCGGCGGGACACGGACCTGCATCCTCCCCGTCCGTCTGTCCCGCTGTCTCCTCCCAGCTGTGGGCCAGCAAGGAGTGGCAACTGGGGGATATATAAAGGCAGGAGAACTCCAGCCAGCTCAAAAGAAACTCCTGGAGCTGGTGGTGTTCTCCCCCTCTCCTGCCTTCACGTGATTCAGCTTCCCTACGCCGGGGAGCCAAAGAAATCCTCGCTGTAAGTACCCGAACTGAGCCGGCATTGTGCGGGGGAACCCCCCCAGCCTCGGGCAGAACAGTGGCTCCGGGGACGGGGGTCAACATCCTCTTCCTTTTATAGAAATGGGGGAAACGCTGTGGGGGAGCCCCGTCCGACCCCACAGCCCCGGGGAGAGGGGTCCCCCATCCTCTCCTTTCACAGACCTGGGGGAAAATGCTGCAGTGGAGCCCTGTCCCATCCCACAGCCTTGCAGGGAGCTCTGCCTGTTGCTGCGGGATGGACGGGCTCCAGCTCCCGTCCCAGCCCAGCCTGGGGGCAGGCGGCACATCTCGGGGGTACAGTGAGGACCGTGGGGCGGCCCCGCGGATGAGGGGTCCCTCCTCTGCGGGGTGCTGGGGCTCCCCGCTGCAGCAGCACGCACGGGGCTGGCCGTGCGGTTTGGGGAGCGGGGTGTGTTCAGGGCGGGGGGACTGCTGGAGTGGGTGTGCCCAGGGGATGTGGGACCCTCGGGCCTCGCAGGGCCAGTGCTGGGGCTTATGCGCAGCACCCTGGGGCAGGGGCTCTGGCAAAGGGGACCTGGGTAGCACTGGGTGGTTTCGGGGGTAACAGTGAAGCCGTGGGGTGTTTCTTGCAGTCATCCCATGCTCCGGGCAGGTTGGGCAGCAGCCACCTCCCTCCCAGGGTGGCCAGGAGCGCCCTGTGTGCCCCGCAGGCCAGCCCGTGCTGACCCCCGCGCACCCTGCCAGGCCAGCCCGTGCTGACCCTGCTCCCTGCCTCCAGGTGTGAGATGGCTGCCGGCAGCTGCCTCCTCCTCCTCCTCCTCCTGCCCTGGCTGGTCACAGCCTCGCACAGCCCCCCCGGCTGCAAGATCCGGATTACTTCCAAGGGGCTGGATTTGGGTAAGGGGCCGGACTTGGGCTGGGATCCCGGGGCCTGGGAAAGAGGGAGGTTGGACACCTGGCTCCTGAGGTCTGCATTTGTGTAGGGCTCTGCCTGCACTGCCCACCCGTGGGGTGGCCAAGGAGGAGTAGGGGGCTGGCGGGGGCGATGCTGCTTGGAGGGCAGCGCAGCCCGGCTGTCCTAGCCCAGGCTCGCTCTGCCTTGCAGTGAAGCAGGAGGGGCTGCGCTTCGTGGAGCAGGAGCTGCAGAACATCACGATTTCAGACCTGCACGGGAAGGAGGGGCAGTTCCACTACAACATCAGCCAGTGAGTGCTGCCCGTGCCCAGGGCTCCCTGGGTCCATTTGTCCATCTGACCATCCCTGTCCCCTCCCCGCAGGGTCAGGGTGACGGACCTGCAGCTGGCATCTTCGGACCTGAACTTCCAGCCCCAGCAGCACCTCGCCTTCAATATCAACAATGCTTCCATCAGCCTGCGCTTCCGCAGGCAACTGCTCTACTGGTTCTTGTGAGCTGCCTCCCCTCCTGCTGCCTGGGCACCAGCTCACCCCACAGCTGTGCCCACTGGGTGCCACGGATGCCTTGCTGCCCTGCAGGTGGCAGGAGCTGTGTGCTCCTCTCATCTGCTTCCCTGGCTTTCAGCTATGACATCGGGTCCATCAATGCCTCTGCGGATGGTGTCCAAATCCACACGGTGCTGCGGCTGGCCAAGGATGAGGCTGGGCGCCCCAAGATCTCCAACATCACCTGCAATGCCTCCATTGCCAGAATGCACGCCGGCTTCTCCGGCACACTCAGGTACACCAGACCCCTCTGCCTGTGCCTGGCTCCCTGACCTCCTTCCTGGGATGCTTCCCCAGCCCAGCTGTGTGCTGGAATGAGGACAGAGCCACAGGGAGGGCAGGCAGTGCAGAGCTGCTCTCATGTCCTGCAGGAAGGTCTACGAGTTCCTGAGCACCTTCATCATCACGGGGATGCGCTACCTCCTCAGCCAGCAGGTAGGGCTGAGTGCAGACAGATGATGGAGCCCAGGGGGCCTTGCCCTGCCTGTGCAGCTTTTCATCCAGTCCTGGGAGCGATTCCCCTCAGCCCAGCTCCTTGCCTTGTAGATCTGCCCGTCCCTGGAGCACGCCAGCCTGGTGCTGCTGAACTCCTTGCTGGACACGGTGCCCGGTGAGTGTTGCCCTAGGGAAGGGACTGGATCCTGCTCACCTTGTGGCAGGCAGGGTTGGGCATCGGGCTGCTGGGCAGCTCTAGGCTTGGTCACGCCAGCACATCTTCCCTGGCAGTGAGGAACTATGTGGATGAACACATCGGGATTGACTACTCCCTCCTGCGGGATCCATCCGTCTCCAGTGACACCCTTGACCTCGACTTCAAGGTGAACACTGGATCCTGCCCTGCTGATCTTTCCCATCCCCGTGGGAATGGCTGTGTCAGCAGGCACACTGGGCTCCATGGAGCAAGCAGGGTGGGCTGCCCCATGGTTGTGGGAATCTCTCCTGCTCTTGGCCCAGGGCATGTTCTTCCCACGGGTGAGAGAGGACCAGGAGCTGGAGAACCACGCAGTGGAGCCGGTGATCAAGGAGACTGAACGCATGGTCTATGTTGCCTTCTCCGAGTACTTCTTCGACTCAGCTATGCTCGCGTACTTCCAGGCGGGAGTGCTGAACATTGAGCTCCAGGGGGAGAAGGTAAGGAGCGCCGGACACTTGGCTGTGCACAGGCAGGAGGGAGGGCTGGGCTGTGCCGCAGAGCAGAGGAGGTGCAGTTTAGAGAGCAGCTCTGCTGGGACCCACAGCAGCGCCTCACTTCCCCTCTGGTGGTCTGTTCTCCCCGCAGGTGCCCAAGGACCTGGAGGTTTTGCTGAGAGCCACCTTCTTCGGGACCATCTTCATGCTGGTGAGGAGCCCCCGCATGGGGCGGAAGGCACGGGAGAGCCTGGGGGCAGGGCACAGCCCTGCCCTGCTCCCTGCCTCCAGCTCACCTACCCTCCCCAGAGCCCCTCCGTGGATGCTCCGCTACGGCTGGTGCTGCAGGTCTCAGCTCCCCCTCGCTGCACCATCAAACCCTTGGGCACCTCCGTCTCCGTCTCTGCCTTCCTGAACATCTCACTGGTGCCTCCGGACCGCCCGCCCGTCCAGCTCTCCAGCATGACTGTGGTGAGGGGGAGGCCAGGGCTCTTTGTGAGGCCACCCT